TTTTTGTAAGGGGATTTTTTGTTTTTTTTTTTTTTTTTTTTTTTTTTTTTTTTTTTTTTTTTTTTTTTTTTTTTGGTTATTCACGAGAATGTATGCCCTAATTGTGTGTCATGTTCACTTCCTACTCCACACATGCTATAGATTTCTCTACACCTATCATGATCGATACTACCAGCCACAAACTCATTAACCACGCCATCGATTTCAATGAAGCTCGATCCACGAGTCATCTCCAAATCATTTTCGTCAATGAATTTCGTAATTACTCTCGCATTTTCCCTTTCACCTGCACCGCCAAACATCAGCCCAGCAAGTTTGTACCGGTCACCTGATGTTGGCTCGAGCTCCATCAAGTGCCTGAATGCCACCGTCCCTCTCTTGGGATCCTTATGTGTCCTACAAGCGCTAAGAAACGCACCCCATATTATCGAATTTGGCTTCTCTGGCATTGCCACGATGAACTCTTCTGCCTCTGCCAGCCGCCCCGCACGGCCAAGGAGATCAACCATGCATCCATAGTGTTCGATTGATGGTACAATCCCAAAATCATTAACCATTTGGTGGAAATATTGACTCCCCAATTCAACATACCCAGCACGAGAACATGCGGATAAAATTGCCACAAAGATGACTTCATTTGGTCGAACTCCTTCAGAAACCATCTCACCGAAGAGTTCAAAACATTTTTCAGGTTTTCCATGATTGGCAAAGCCAGAAATAACAGCTCCCCATGTGACCACATCTCTATTAGGCAATTTCCTGAAGACTTTATAGCAACTCTCTATGCAGCCACACTTTGCATACATGTCTACTAGAGCAGTACCAAGAGTAATGCTAAGCTTAACCTTATTCTTATCAATATAAGCATGAATCCACATTCCTTGGTCCAAAGCTCCCAAATGGCCACAGGCAGACAAAGAGCTCACAAGGGCCGATTCATTCGGAGAAACGCGAAAAGCCACCATTTCTTGGAAGATGCTTAATGCTTCTTTATACATAGCATTATCTCTATATCCTGCTATCACTGCACTCCAAGAGGCAACATCTTTTGCTGCCATTTTTTCGAACATTGCTCTAGCCTTGTCAACATGACCTTTACTTAGATACCCTGAAATCATGGCGTTCATCGCAAGCGTGTTCTCCTCTTTGAACTCTCCAAGAACGCGTTCCGCACAAGCTATGCTACCTGAGCTCGCATACATGTTTATTAACGAACTATGAACATGAGTATCAGGCGCTATTCCGGCCTTTATCATCCGGCAATGCACTTGCTTACCTTCAATCAGAGCTTTCATGTGGGAACATGCTTTGAGAACGAAGGTGTAGGTGAAATTATCCGGGATTAGTCCATTCATCAACAGCTTTTCATACATCAACAATGAATTATAGGGGTCCTTACCCAACATCAGTCCTCTCATGATGGTATTATAGGCAAATACATCAGGAGAATGAATTGTGTTGAAGATGGCCAAGGCATATTGAGTCTGTGACACTCTCACGTAAGATTCCACGAGTCTCCCGCCATTCGGAGGGCGGTTTACCAGTCCAGAGACCACCAATTGGGCATGTACTTGCCTTACCTCATGGAAGTTGTGACACATTTGAAGCAAAATTACAGTGGCTGGAGTGTTCCTAGCCTTGCTACTACTCATAAAGGGGGAAGCAAAAGAAGGAGATGTTGAAGCAGCCATGAAATATAGATTTAGTTTGTGTTATCAAATTATCTATGGAGCCAAGCCATGAAAAAAGAAATTGATGTGTTCATCTTATCCTAACAATTATCAGTTCCCAAAGCTTTCAACTTGGAAATGGCTCTACTGAGGATTTTTGTTGTGGGTGTGGTGTTAGTGAACCACAGCCACAGAAATGAACAAAATCCAAAGAGAATAGATTATATATATGGAAAATTAGATAATTGTATTCCATTATCCTCACAATAAAATAGAAGGGTCCATCCTTTATGGACCCCACTAAAGTGGTTGGTAAAAGAGTTCCGTTAGATTTATATGCTTCTCCATTTGGAAATGATTTTAATTATGATGGCTCTTCATTCTAAGAAGTAAGGGAGGATAAAAAATAAAAAAAAGGCCTAAACTACAGATGCAGTAAACAAAGTGCACCAAGAAAGAGAGAGGAGGGAAAAAAGAAAATAAGATAAAAAAAGAATCTTTTAGAGTATTTAGCTGTCAATGTAATACACAAACCCATTTCAACAATTGATACAACAAAAGCCTAACCCCTACTCTTTTGAACCAGCAAAATCATAAATTGGTAGATAAACTAGAATCATACAAGTGGAATAGTAATAAGCTTTAATATCAACCCAACAAATGAAAATTTGAAATTTCCCACAAGGTGGTTAGTAACAACAAATGATTGTAGGGGAAACCAAAAAATAAAAGGCTATGCTTTCTTCTTAAAAAAACTGGAATAAGAAAACAAGGAGGGCAGCTGATAGCAAGAGCAGTGGAGATGGGTAACCCATGACATTAGAACCACTTTCGTTTAACGACGCTGATGGTGAAACCGCGGGGCACGCAAGACCTTGCTTCCCCTCGCGGCACTCACTGGCAAAGAGGCCGGGCGGGTATTTTCCATAGAGGTTGATGTAGCTGAACATAGTTGAAGCACAATCATTTGTTAAGTCATTCAACACATCCACGTATGGGCACGCAAAATCCTTGAATGCTTTACAACAACGGTCAGCGGGGTAATGCGGTCCTTTGCATTGGCTTGTGATAATGGTGTAGTTCAAAAACTCAAAGTTCACAGAGCAACCTGCGTATAAAATGAATGGTATAAATGCGCCATTGATATCAAACATCAACAAATCCAGCTCTAACCGAGGAATAAATCTCGTTACAAATGAAACATGGGATATGACTTTAGGTAATAGAAGAATACAAGTAAAGCTTTGCCTTTAAGTCAGTGTTTGGAAATATGTTTTCAAAAGCACTTAATGAGATTAAAAAAAAAATAAGGGAAAAGTACATTGTTTGCCATGGTTTTATGCAGGACTATTATATATAGATGCATGAGATTTCAAAGAGATTAGATGTCAAACAAGATATACAACATAATATATATAAATGCTTTTCTTCACTTCAGAAACAGATTTAAGCTTCCCTGCTTTCTGATATTCAATGGATTGAAAATTTTGATTGGTTGTAGATCAAAGACAGGAAGAATATGCCAAGAAAATAATTAATTTGAAGATTTATCGTGTTCAGTAAATGGGTGTTGTGTTTGACCATTGTCACGAAATAATTAATTTGAAGATTTATCGTGTTCAGTAAATGGGTGTTGTGTTTGACCATTGTCACTTCCAGCAACTGGGGAGTAGCTAAGTACTTCTGACATGCCTCAAGAATTAGCTTAACAAATTACAAAAGTCTGACCACCATCCAAGGTTTCAAAAACCTTGATATAGTCCAAGTTCATATGAACTAAGAAGAGCGGGATTCTTAAAGGCTATGGAAAACCATCTTCCTAACAAAGCATACAAAACACTTACTTTTCTTCTTAAATGGCTGAACTATCCAAGATTATCCAATTTGGTTTTCTCAAGTTACTTTGGATTGTAACTTATGCTTTTATACAATCATTCAATATCAAAAGAGAGAAAGATGCACAACAAAAAGGCTTATCTTTCTCATCTATTTACTAGATCTCTTAATTTAAAAGAACTTCCTTTATTATTTAGGCAATAGGTTAATTTTCTTGATGCAAATTTGACATAGTTGCAGTTACAAATAGAAGAAACAGAAAGGAGCCAGAAAGGGAAAAGATCAATAAAATTAAGTAGATTATCTTATATGAGTCATATCCAAAGGCCTCAAAAAAATTTATCATTTAGCACCAAAACAAATAAACAAGCATGGACAATAGAAGAGATCAAATGGGCATTTCCTAAATGTTGAAAAATATGAGCTTATGAGCCACATATTGATGAACTTCAACAAAAAAACAGATAGTTATTGGAATCCCCAACAAAGAAAGGAACCAATTTTGAGGATGAAGGTGTGAAGAAAATTGAAGCTTTCTTGGCCTCAATAATAACTCTTCAACTGGATTATCTTATACCAGAAAAATTATCTTAAACCAAAAAAAAAAAAAAAAAAAAAAAAAAAAGAAGAAAAGATCCATGGCTCTCAAGAATTGATCATTTAGCATTTAAACAACCAAATAAGCATGGAAAACAGAAGAGATCAAATGGGCATTTTCCTAAATGTAGAAATACATAAATAAACTTCAACGAAAATAGATCATTATTTGCTCCAACTAAAGAAAAAGAAGAGAAAGATTCAATTTTGAAAATGAGGGTCTGAACAAAAAAAAATCCAACCTTTCTTGGCCTGAAGAAGGCTGCGGCCAGTAGAACCATGAAAATCAAGAATCCCATCTGCAATTACCAAAAAAGGAAAGAAAATTTCATAGCCTGTAATATTCATTATATAAAAGGAAAAAAACCGAAAAAAAAAGGGGAATGAGAGAGTTTAATTAATAAAGTACCTGAAATGAAAGTGGAAGATGAAGCAGAAGCAATAAATCCCACTAAAACTAAAGAGAAAAGTAGTGAAGAAGACATGGAGAAGAAGCTCCGATCCAACACCATGTTAATCAGAAGCTTATTAACACCAAAAAAATAAAAACGTTCAGAAAGATCTCTGCTTTTTTCTTTTTTTTTCCTTCTTTTTTTCTTCTTCTTTATAGAATTAGTATTGTCCAAATTTCTTCTCGAGTAGCTCTGGTTTATTCTCTCTCTATCTTTCGTTTTTTTTTTTTTCTTGGTCTGAGAAGAGAAATGAACTCCTTTTAAATCTTATTTATTTTATCAATTTGAGTTTAAAATTTAAATTTTATTATAATAAAACAATTTTAAAAATAATTATATTTAATATTTTTATTATAAAAAAAATTTTCACATAAAATTATATTTTAATTAAAATTAAAATTTTAAATTAATAAATTAAACGAGTTTAAAAATAATGACGTGACGTTAGCAAGAAAACGACGACAAAAATATTAAAAGGAAAACAGGTTAGTTGGGTACAACCAAGATAACGCGAAAACTGGCCTTTTGTCAATACTTCATAAACGCGTATGAATTTTTACTCGCTCAATCTCTCGTGACACTGATACTGCGTAGTTTTAACTGTTTATTTGTTACATTTTTCTTTTCTTTTATAAGTCTAGTTTTAACTGTCAGATTTTAATATTATAACTCAATTTACACTCGGTTAACCTTTTCATGAAATATTCCTCCATGATTTTATTGCATGTTTTCGTTGTTTAAAATTCGCGGAAATCTTTTACATACATGTTTTAACTTTAAAATGATTTTGATGCCATGTCGAAGGACTTTTTTTTAATGTTTTATCACAAAATTCTCAAAAAGAATAAAAAATGCCCAACTTGTGTGGAGGATTAATAGTTTGTTTAAGCTCTTTTTACGAAGTATTTATGGGGAGGGAATCTCTTTTTAAGCGTAGTTATTTGTTAATATAATGATTCTTTACTTTTTCACATTTCATCGATCTCAATTACAACTTAAGCTCTTATTATAGTGTTCTCTTTTATATAAATTATCACCACTCAAGCTCTTATTATAGTATTCTCTTTTATATAAATTAACTTTTTAACTATAATTTTCAACTCAAACAAGTAAAATAAACTCTTCTACGTTTGTCCCCAAGCATTTTGATGTATTAATTTGCTTTATTACAAAAGTAGTTCAGTTTCATCTCTCTCAATTGCTACGTTTTGGAGACCACGTTCTAACGAAAATGGTACTTTTTTTTTTACCCCCAGAAAACAAAAGAACACGACATCCTTAGTGGACTGTTTCATAATTTGGCAACATATTTCCAACCAAATCGAAGCTGTCACTACCGAATCCAGGTGTATAAGGGCCCTACCATAGTCCCCATGTTGCATTTTGACATTTTTTTTTAAATGAAATGCATTTTTACAACTTGATCCCTGTATACATTATTTATATTGATGATAGAGAGACCCAATCGTCATTGGTTCAAAAGACGTTAAAAACAAAATCTGATTTGGTTCAAAAGACTTTAAAAAAAAATCTGATTTGGTTCAAAAGACTGTCAATTTTCAGATTTGCCAGAACCAAATAAATACCAATATCCTAATTAACATTATCGTCGATGCAGGATAACATACGCCAAAAAGAGCTAGTTGAGAAATTCGTGTGGGAAGAAAGACATCAAATTCGTGTTTACTAAATCGAATATTGGTAAGGGTAAGGGGTGATAATCCAGACTGAGAAGAGACTCGAACTCAACTAAAGAGCTGACAGAATTGGCACTTGGGTCAACTTGAAACGGATACGATTATATGAGTCTACAGAAACATGACTCAAATTACCATCTCTAACTAGAAGGCATCTGTACATCACAAGCTCCCAATATCGCATGAGATGGGAGTTAGTTTCCCCAAGTATGCGAGGCCCGCTCCCATCTCACGCGACGTTGGGAGCTTGAAGAGCCCCTCGGCATTTTCAGCCTAAAATGCTAGCCGCTGTGGTGATGACTTTCGTCTGTGTGACACAGGCAAGCTCCTTAGCAGCTTCCAAATGGGATTGATGACACAAAATTCAAGTGGTCTTTGGAATTTTTGGCCCATAACGAGAGAAGACCAAGCGAAACATATGCCGCAAGTAAAGCATTTTCATTTAACTTTCTCTTTCTCTACACTGTTTCTTATTTTCTTTTCTTTTCTTTTTTTTTTTTTTTTTTTTTCTTTTTTTTTTTTTCCCTGTGCATGGTTACAAGTCATTCAGCTTTTGTTATAAACTTGGCCTTCTCGCCTATCAACGTTTGAGATAAGAAAAAGGAGAGACAAAAAGGAAACTGTCCTCCTAGTGTGCGCTTTAGATATGTTGGCGATTTTGGCCCTGGAATTCGAATCACATGCTTTCGTTCCATTAACCCCCTATCCATCGATGCACACATTCAAGTAGCGTTCTCCGTTCATTCAACAAAAGAATCTTCTTTGCTGCACCAATGATCCTCCCAAATGTCAGACTTAGGACTCCAGAAAAATATACCATGTAAGCTTTGAAATGTAAATTCCTGTTAAGCATTGCAGCATACTAGTCCGTGTAGAAATTCTAGTAATTGTGTCCCGATATTGGTGCTTAAGTGCTTTATTATTAGATAAAATTAAGCAGAATATATACATGTATATATACATATATACACACATATATATGTTAAACTTGAGCCAAAGTTGACTTACTCGAAAATTGGAATCCTTTAACTTCTCCAGCAATTCCGTGATCTCAAGTTGCTTCACAACCGTAGCATGTAGGACCTGCAAAATTAACGTTTAATTCTTGAAGTATAGTGAAACTGTTTATTGTCTAAGCGTGGCCCCGCAGAATAGGTGTGCGCACCGAACTGCGATACCATATTGCGTGTCTATTTTGATTTCTGCACTTTATTCTACTCGAACAATTTGAACAATAAGAAATCCGGATCTTAATTAATTAAGTCATCTTCCAGACAATGTTCCAACATCATCTGGAACATCGGACGTAACATCAGATCTAACAGATTCAATAATAAGATGAATTCATATAGTTAAAAGAGCATACCCTCTTTGTCTTCTCAAGTTCAAACTCGACATTTTTTATTCTATCGAAAGATTCCATAAGAATCTTCTCCTTCTCCAAAGGAATTCCAGCAGGCTTGTTGCTGAGCTCTTCGAAAACCTTTTCTAGTCTCTGAAGACGCTGTATGCATGGACGGATGCGGTCTTCTTCATCAACAACTTCAACAGTTGGGGAAGGGCTACTTGTATGTTCCATCAAAGTACTTGGGTGAATGTTGTTTTTTCTTCTCCAAAATTGAAATGGTAGACTGCGGAAAATCATAAATATTCTGAACAAGAACGATATCAACACTCCGGTTACGCGATGGAACTCCCTTTTCTCAAATTTTTCCTTAACGCTGTTGAGCCAATGGATAATTAAGCTCCCTGGATATATATATATATATATATATAGAAATTCAAGAATTAAAGCACAAGTATTATTTGATATTGGAAAGTTCTAGGAACACTAAATACAGCGTAATCCATATCGAGACCACTTTAATAGTCACCTTCTGATGATAGTGCCTCATGAGAAACATTTGCAAGATTATTGTTATTAAGTGATCGATCGTGAAAATGACCCATCCCTTCATCATACCCATTAGTTCTCTCGACTGGAGAAAAATGATCGTCACAGCTATAGTATGTAACTGAATCTGATACCTTGACCTGCATGAAACAGATTTTGAAACATGTTAAACGAAATCTACACTTAGGACATATACACACAACCATGTTATTTTAAACAGTACACTGAATCAGAAATCCCACTTCTTCGTGAACTGGGGCCAAACGAGGAACGGCCGAACTTCTCCTTCCTAGTGGAGAACATGGATCATCAATATCCGATCCCGACTCTGCTGTTGATGTATCACTAAACCTCCCCTGCTTAGAAAACAAAGACGTGTTTAGACTTCAATGCTAATGACGTATGGTTTGGACTTCAATCATAATGAAACATCAATATACTACTGAGCAAAAACCAAACTTGCCTTCAGTGGGCGTATCTGTACATAAGAGTCAAACTTTTGCTGGTCATGAGACACTCTGGTAATTTGCCTCACAAAAGTTGCCTCAGCATGATGTACAAGCTACAAACGAGAGACCAAGTTTAATCTCGAATGTGACATAAAAAAAAGTTTCAAGCCTGGCATATCCTTTTGATGTAAAACCAAAGGCGGCAAAGAGAATGATATAAGATATATACACAGAACCAATAAAGATTAGATAGCAAAGGAGTGCAAGACCAAGAACTCAAGAGAACGAAATATCAGTATTTGTTCATCAACCAAGTCCAAAATGAAATATCAAAGGTAAGATATATCCTAATCTCAATCACTTTTCCTGCTTAAGGTGTAGTTATCGTACCTTCATTATTTCAGGATCATTCCATGGACCTTTGTTGGATCTAAGGCAGCCTCCCTCAGCAGAACATGTACACGATCCCTCCAGGAAGTCTGGCAACTGACTGAAAGGGAAAGTACGCAAAGGAATTAAAAGGCAAGCGCCGTCATACAAGATTCGCAGAAAGACAACAAGCACTACATACCTCGGGTCAATGACTTCTTGTAGCTTGTGCAGGGATCTGGGATCCAGAACCTGCCCAAAACAGAAGAAAGGAAAACTTAAGAACAGTCAAGGTTTAGACGATAGGAAACCAAGAGCATAAGAGAAATAATCTTTTACCTGTATCTTTGAAATTGTTTTAGGATCAAGAAATTTCTGTGCAGCATGCCAAAGCATCTTAAAGCCTGGACCAGCATTGACGATGTACATTCGATGCAATGTCTGTACCCATTTACAGAATAATTAGAATAATATAGCAGCAGAAACTAATTACATCACTACGAAGAGTCAGAAAGATACCTCAGGGTAATAATTACTGTCTATCTTGGTCATCGCAGCCAAGAGATTTTTAGCCGTTCGACTAAAATTCTTTACTCCCTGTACATCAAGTAAAAAACTATCACAAGTTAAGATTGTGCAGACAAAAATTTTTCCCTTTTGACAAACCAGAAACTGAATGTAAACCAGTTAAAGAGAATCACTGAACATGAAGCAAATGCATCACAAAAGTGTGCGTAATTTTGACGGTTTGACCAATTCAAAAAGGAAGAAATGGCATTAATAAAGAAGTCACGCACCAGGCCTTGCACATCTAATATCGTCGTGGTTGAACAGATCTGTCTCTTTGCTGCAATTGAACAAGCAGGGAACTTCTCCTGTATGGCTCTCTCAAACTCTTGGACATGATACTTCAAGTATCGATCTACTGTGGTTATTTGCATAAGCTTGCTTGGATGAGCTTTTCCCAACCTCTCAATGTAAACCGGCCTGCCTTCTTTATCAACCCCATGATACCCTTGGGGGTAATAATGCAAGACTTCTTCCAGCTCTTCAAATTCAAAATCCTTTGCATTGATTAATTCATAAAGAGTGTCAGAAAAGAAAATATCGAGAGGTAGATCGATATTCCAGACACTTCAGTTCGGCAGAGCACGAGAAAAAATTAATAAGGCTTCTAAAAGTGGGATAATTCTTTACTGTTGCTTTTTTTTTCCAAGTTCCAACTGTATTGATACTGTAATGACTATGCCTACGAAGTCGACGGCAAAGGTTGACATAATTACCTCCAAGATGGTATCTGTTCCAAACTCCTTTCTCCAATTAAGCATCTGCTCCCACATTTGGATTGTCTTTTCAATGTTAGAATCCCTAGCTTTCAAGAATCTACAAAGTAAATCGTAAAAATGAGAAATCACAACGGCAATACATACATTGGCAAACAAAAAACGAGAAGGAAAACAAAACTAGAATCCTCCAAATGACTTGGTAATGTAAAAGATTTCACTGACCTCAACAAACTGTAGTAGTCATCATGCTTGGGTGGCAACAAATCCCTTTCTAGGAGCCTTTGGCGCAATTCTTGGACAGCACTCTCCTCTTTTGCGTCTCGTACATCCTCTATGGAAACTGATGGAACCCTGTAGTCAATTTTCCTTTTCCCTCTTTTTTTAAGCGAATGAGTGAACTTGTTAGAAGCATTTAACGCCTTCTTCTTGAGGTTACCAATCTTTGACCGTCGTCTCTCATCTTCAGAGTTCTCAATATCTGATTTCCTCTCTCTAATTTCATCAGGCGCGCTCAAACCTTCTAAGCCTTCAATTAACAAATAAAACCAGTAAAATACAATATTACAAGCTTGTAACTTTTTTTCTTATTTTTCCGTCTCTCTTTTTTATTCTTTGGCAAGTTATTTTTTCCTATAATAGTGTAACTTATTTAACAACTACGTCAGAACTAAAAATACACACACACACACACACACACACACACACACACATATATATTTGTTACTTCCAATAATATTATTTCCAAGAAAACAAGGACCCAAGGCCTTTAATTGCATAAGAAGTACGGCAAGGTTGTGAACCAGAAAGCGTACCTGCCATTTGATTGAATGCAAAAGGAAGAGTCTTTCAAGGGAAAAAAAAAAACACAAATTGACAGAAGCCCTTCTCACCCAGATGTATCTATATGCTGTCAAAAACATAAGAAGCTACTATTAAGCATTGAACCATTAGACCCCAAACACTTGTAACCAAAAAATAAATAAATAAATAAAGGAGCATCTAATTACTGCAAAGAAAGAAACTAAGAAACCAAAAAAAAAAAATGCAGACCATAAAAACCACAGAAAGACTGCGTCAAAAAGGAAGCTTCCTATCCTGTTAAGTAAATCGTATGTAGAGTTCTAAGAAGCAGCAAAACTTATCTCAGCAGTTTGATTAATAAGAAGCTTCCATCTTTTTTAAGGATAATCATTTTTTTTCTTTTTTTCTTTTCATAATCCTTTGTTTTGGCCTTTGGTTCTGAGAAAAGGACTTCTCTTTCCTTTTTCTCTGCATAATCCAATACCCAATTTTTCTTTAAGAACATTGAAAGAATTTTTGCAACTCCTCAGAACATACGTGCTAAGCAGATTAAGCTAAAATAACCAAAAGAAAAGGAAAACAAAACAAACATCTAAAGCTGAAACATTTTTCATCATTTTCTCCGAAACTAATTATTATATTATATCATTCAAATGCCAACTTTCATGAGAAATATATTTAAACAAAAAATAAGCACAACAGTATAATAATAAATACCAAGAGAAGTCTACAGGGAGATAAAGGAAGGTTTGTTTTTTTTTTTGGAAGGAAAAAAAAAAAGGAAGCACCATTAAAGACTAAGAGTGAAGAACCATAAAATGAAAATAGTAGTTTAAGAAAGAAATGTAATAAGAGTGAAGAATGTATTAATTATTAAACAGAACGAGAAAAATAAAATAAAAGGAAAAGTTTGAACTTTGGAACTTCGAAGAAGAGAAAATCAATCTCGTCACCGTAATAATATAATTGTCATCATCCAATTCAGAAATTTATTTATATTAAAAGAATATGCAGAGTGATTCACAAATAAATTCCAGAACTACAAAATTGAGCTGAAGAGCAAGAAAAAGCGAAGAAAATAAATAAATAAATAAGATTGAAGAATGTAATAAGATTGAAGATTGAGAAGAATCTAGTAATAAAAATGAAAAAGCTCTGAGCTTTGAAGATCAAATTCAAGAGAGAGAAAAGTGAGTAAAGATAGGGAGGGAGGGAGAGAGAGAGAGAGAGCTAGAAGCATCGAGAGAATCCAAAGACGACGAAGAAGAAGAATCAAATCATCGGCATTAATATCAAATCACCAAAAAAATGCTCTGAAATCCAAGAAACGCATTCGAATCTCGACAACGTCGATCATCAGATCTCGCATTACAACTCTCAACGTGAAATTAATTCCCAAAAAAAAAAAAAATTGAACCAGAAGAAGAATAAGGAAGTACAAAAGCGAAAAGCATGGGGATTTTACCTCAGGGAGAGATAGAGAAAACCCTAGACGAAGAAGAGGAGGAAACGCTAAGCAGCCATGGATGGATTGACGGCAGAAGCAGCAGAGAAAAGCAGCAGAGAATCTCTCGGGAAACGGAGGCACGAAGAAATAAATGAGAGAGAGAGAGACAGGAGTAGATTGGAATTGTAAAAGTAAAGAAGAAGGAGAGAAAATTGAGAGAATTTTCTCGAGAAAATTGAAGAAGTAAAATTTTCTCGAGAAAATTGGTTCTGTTTTGCTTTTTTGCAGTTTGGTTTTGGTTTTATATAAATACATACAATTCTGTTGCTGCCTCACTCTCTTTTTTTCACTTTCTCTCTCTCTCTATTTTATTTTATTTTTAAAAGTACTTTTTTATTTTGAAGAATTCGATTAAGTTTATTTTATTTTATATTTGTATATTGGAATAATTTTTATGCTAATCTATATCTATAGATCATCATAAAAATTAGATTCTTGTTATCAAAATGAAAATATAATTCTAATATAATTAGACAGTTTTGTTAATAAATAATTAGAAAGTTTAAAATCATATATAATGGAAATGTGACAGGATATTTTTACCCGATTAAATATTCTTCTTTATATTAATACTAACGCTTCTACAAAAATAAAAATAAAAATAAATAAATAAATAAAATATTACTTTATTATTTGTGTGAATATAAAAGGTTTGTTAATCGAGCACTTCTCTTTGCTTTTTCTTTTTTGTTTATTTAAAAATTAAAAATTAAAGATTTGGCTTTGGCTTTTTTTTAATTATTTGTAAATTGGAAGCTTATACTATTGCTGTCAATTTCTCAAGACTTGCATACGTGTCGACCCAAGAATTTTCTTTTGGATTTCTTTATTACTACTATTATGTATTATTTATTTATTTATTTATTTATTTATTTATTAAGAGTATCACTGTTTGACTGTTTAGATTTAGAATTTTTTTAGTAGTCTGTTTTATAAATAATCTTATTTTTTACAGTTAAATTTAGTAAAAATTAAATTAAATTGAAAAGATATACAATATAAATAAATTATAATATAAATTTAACAATTAAAAAATAAAAAATTATTAATAATCTATTTATTAAAAGATTATCAAAGAAACTTTCTTAAACTATCTTTTATCCAAGATTATTATAACTTATTTATGAACAGAATTAGTCAAAAAATTAAATATATTAATTAAAATTTATTATTATATACCAATAATAAAGGTCAAGGTACGGCCCTGGTCAATTTTGGACCGACGGTGACTCCTTGGCTGCTAATTTGCCGTATTTGTTTTGTTACATTGTACGACTTATAATCATGATTGATTTCTTGATTTTTAACAAAATATGCGGTTAGGTAAGGTTTTTAAAATGATTTTATTTTTAATATAAAAATAAAAATTAGGATATTTTGAGATCATTTAAATTGAGTTTAGTTAGTTTTTTAAAATATTATTTTGAGTATAATAAAAAAATAAAATTGTGTTTAGTTATAATTATTAATTAATATATTATAACATTATTGATAAATATTAAAAAATAAAAATAGAAAAGGAATAATAATTTTTAACTGTTTTTTAATTCTTTCACAAAAATTATTCTCGTTATTTTTTATTTTCTTTTTCTTTTTCAAAATATTTACTAAATAAACACGGTTTAAATACCATTTTTATTTTTGTGTCTCAAAATACATACAAAAACATTAAAAAAAATCAATTCCAAACTCGCTTAATAATTTTGACTCTCCCGCTAAAACTTATTAAGTTCAATTGTAGTTATGATAATTATATAATATCCTAAGAAAGTATTATATAATTTAATAATATTCTTAATTCATATGCGCCTTATACTAGTGTGGCTGATGCACTACAAAATTAGGCAGATTGCTACTACTAGTTCTGTTCAGTTGGCTCAAATTAAATTAGCCCACCACGTTATATAATAATAGTAGTCTTTAAAAGGGAAAATATAACACAATATAACATAACGTAATTAGTGAAATATCTTTTGAAAATACATATATATATATATAAGTTTAATATACATGATCTTTCTTTTACATAGCATTTTATTCCTAGATTTGAACAGAAAACTTTAAATATAAATTTAATTTTGTATGAGAAAATAATGTAACAAATAGATTTAAACAGTAATTTGAATTTATAAAATAAACAGAGGAATCAAACAAAATCAAAATATAAAGATATTTTTCTCAAAAAAGAATCTAGAGTTTTTTAAGGATTTTATTTGGTGTTATTTTTTTTAAAAACACCGGTGTTTCTTATTTATCACGAGTCATATCAGTATTAAATTTACTCAAAAGTCAAATCAAATTGTAAAAATAATATAAATCTAACGCTGCTAAGTAAGAATTACCGGTATTCTTAAAAATACAGAGAACACCATAAAATTTCTTTTTTTTTAAAGGTTTTTGACTTAAATCTAGAGTTATTTTAGATAGGGCATCATCACACGCACACATATATAAGTTTTCTCCTTCTACAGAAAAACAGAAATGTGAATTCATGCATGAATCATCCAGAGGATTAGTATTCTTTATGATTTATGAAGAATATGTCTTTGTTATTTGAAGGGATGTGGAAGCATCAAAATTAAAATGGCAGAAACAGTTGAGTAGCGAAAAAAAAAAAAAAAAAGCAGAGACAGTTAATTTATTAATGTCACTTGCAAAGTATTTAATTTTTGCAGTAGTGGGACCCCCTATAAATTACTACCACCTCTTGTTCTACTATGTTTTTGTCAATGTCAATTAATCAATCTCCAAAATTCACATGTAATAAATGTACATGTATATATATATATATAGATATGCATACATATATATTGTCACAGGGATTTTGTGGCTTGGCAATTGGCAATTTGGCATCCACCAACAATAAATGCAATATCTATTGTTTATTCCCACAACAGTCCAACTACTCTGTGTCTTTATTCTATATTTGATCATTACTTAACATAGACTAAAAGGAATAATAAATTTCTCGTAGAAAAGAAATAATAAATTCTTAAAAAATAATGGAATAAAAAGTTGAAGGGTAAAGCCACGTATGTATATGATTTTTTATTCTTTTTTGAGAAATTATACCCTTATTTATTTCACCGATTTAAATTTAAAATTTAAATTTTACTATAGTAAAAAATTCTCAAAATCTATTACATCCACTATTTTTATTATAATAAAAAATTCTTATATAAAATTACATATCAATTTAAATTAAAAACTTAAATTAGCGAACTAAACAGATCCCGTATATGATTTTTTATCTTCTTGAAGAAGGAAAAATGTTGAAATTACTAGATTTTGACTTGGATAGTTTTGATTTGACTTAAAACAATAAATTTTACTAGGGAAAGGTCGGAACGCCAATTATCTCATTTCCTTTTCCAATCAGAAATTCAGAACTGGATGCATTTCAAAGCTAACACAAACACATCACCTTATATGGTCACCAATCTCAAGTCTTACATCACTCTGATGCAAATATATATATATATAGTGAGATATGTAAATTAACTTTTTTTTTGTTATATATACAGTAATATTACATTCAATAGCTATGATATTAAATTTTTTTATTTTTAAATGTTATGTATGAACCATAACAAATATTTATATATTTACACATTCATGTGTATATTATTCTCGTAAAATTTACTAGTAATTTTCTCTAAAGAATATATATATATATATATATACACACATATATGTGTATATATTTATATATATCAAACCCAATGGTGAAGAAAGGCCACTGAATTTTTTAATGCAAAAGGATGAGAAAATTAAAGATCAAGATAAGGCAGTAGCTGGAGGAGCCACTCATTCTTCCTCTGGAAAATTAAAGGGGAAGTCCTTCCAAAAACAAGGCAATAAGAATTTTGTGTGTTTGCCTTGGCAGATATCTAATTCAGTAGTGCTACCGAACAAAAAGTACTATTCTCCTTAATATGTACAGATGAGTTGTCATTGTGGATAATTTATTGGAATATCCTAGTTGTTGTTTCTTATTAATATTGTTAGTATATATAAATGAAATAGTTAAGGAGAAGAAAAAATTAATTTACATAAGAAATGAAGGAGAAGAGGAGTGCGGTTTTAATGGTTACTCTAATATTTATTTATCGATAAGTATTATTATTTCAGTCGTAAGATATTAATTCAATAGTTGTAATAAATTAGATAGTTAATAAAAAAATTATGACAATTAATAAAATTATATTCTTATCACGCCAGTCATCAAATTTTCTATATTTGTAGAAATATAACCATTAAAAACTATAGTTATATATAATATTATATATGTGTGTACGTGTGTATTTATTTAAGGTGCTTGTCAATAATTATCAAATGTATATAATTAGGGATACATATGACTTAGAGTCAGCATCAAGTTTTGAAAAATAAAGTTGATTTTTTTATTAAAAAAAAAAGGTTTTGACCAATATGAAACTTTTTTGACGACTTTTTAATTTAGAGTGGAGTATGCAAAAAGGGTCAACTTTAGGTTGCTTGATGAAAAGAATTCCTAATTGTCTTTCCAAGATTATACAAGCACAAGTCCTATGTTTTAAATTTGATAAATAAATAAAAAGATAAAAAATGAGATTTAGCGAATTTTGATAAAGATTTAACGATCTAAAACAACAAAATACTACGAAAGAATTCTTGAAAAACTCAAAGGGTATACAGACGTATTCAACAACAACAATACAAGTAACCCTACTGCAGTATCCATCGTAACATATATTTTTTCGTATCAACCAAAAAATCAATGTTAAAAATCTTGATAATTCTATTATATAGCCAGAAAATTTCTTACTGATCATAGAGCTCTGTATTAGACTGTCAAATTTATATCACACTATCTCAAATTTGTATAATTTCATTTTAAAGTGATTTTAATCAAATCTAATGTTCAGAAACGCGCACCTAAGCGGTCAATTTTGTATACTTTCATTTTACAGTGATTTTAATCGGACTTAATGTTCAGAAACGTGCACCTAAGCAGTATAGGTACTATAGTATAAATATTAAAAGATGAGATATTAAGATGGGTTTTTGGGAGTGTCGAGGTCGATAGTAAGGTCTCTTTCGAAAAGACAGACACGACTTGTCTCTCGTCTTC